GTTTGTTAAAACTAACAGAATGTCAATTGGAGGTTAAAACAAAAACACATTAGGCCGATGTCACATGTGTACGTTGATTTTGAACAGCGGCGTCTTCTTTCAAGTTTCGTTACGTGTTATTTTTTGCATTGTGTTGCTGTGTGTTAAAACCAACAAAGACAATAGAATGATGGTCCAGTGGCCGACATTGTGTGTGTATTATAAACAAATAGAATAGTGCCGGTCGCCAACTTTTTGTCCTGGTCTGAAATTCTGAGTGCCGGTCGCTTAGTTTGATAACTAACGGGGACTGTGCCATGCATGGATTGTTATTGCAAGTTAGTGTTTGTGAGAAAAGACAAGCATGGATGGGAATAGATCATAGGCCCTCCTGATCACTAAGCAGACAAGTGACCCACAAGACCATGATGAAATGACTGCTCATCATACATATTATAAGATTATACAGTGTGTGTGTGTGTGTATATATATATACATATATATATATATATATAAGAAAATTATTACAGAACAAGAACAAACCAATGGAAAAACACCGCATCTGTAATAGAATGGTTCAACAAAATCGAACATAAAGAAAAACATCGTTTTATTTGCTTTGATATAGTAGAATTCTATCCATCCATTAACCAAGATCTTCTTCTCAAAGCGTTACACTTCGCCTCTTCATACGACCATATTTCGGAAGAAGAAATAAATATTATTCTACATTCAAAAAAGTCTCTGTTATCACATAATGGCCACTACTGGCAGAAGAAGAGCACCAGCTCATTCGACGTAACTATGGGCAGTTTCGACGGCGCAGAGACGTGTGAATTAGTTGGATGCTTTTTATTGTCACAGCGGAAAAATGATCGGCCTGTACAGAGATGATGGCTTAGCCGCTGTAGACAACACACCCAAAGAAACTGAAAGAATAAAAAAAGCCATCTGTCGTATTTTCAAACTACACGGTCTGAAAGTCACAATCGAAGCTAATAAAAATATTGTCAACTTCCTGGACGTCACATTCAATCTCACTGACAGCTCTTACAATCCATATATTAAACCCAACAGCCACCCACTATAAGTACATAGAGAGAGCAACCACCCACCCTCCATCACAAAGAATATACCGGCAGGAATCAACAAACGATTGTCATATCTTTCATCAAACGAAAAAAACTTTGATCTAGCCGCGCCACCCTACCAGACAGCTCTAAATCAAAGTGGATATGATTATCACCTCAAATTCGAACCCCC